GAGAGAAATACCAAATGATGAGAGAGAATCATTGATTGGTTGCCTCCTGCACACCCCCTACTGGGGATTGAGCCCACAACCAGGCATGTACCCTTGGCTGGAATTGAATCAGGGACCTTTACAGTCCCCAGGCCGATGCTCTATCTACTGAGCCAAACTAGCTAGGGCCCAGCCGTATAACCTTGCGGAAGACATTTATCTGCCTTGAGCCTTGATTTTCTCACCTGTAATATGGTAATATGTACTTCTGCTCTTCTCTCTTAAGAAGGTTGTAAGGAAGATAAAAGGAGACAATTAGGTGAAGGCAATGTATAAATTGGAAAAGGTGATGCATTGTATATTTATTGTTAAAGTTTTAAAGTCACCTTCTTAGTGGAATGACTATCACCAGTGGGATATAATAATATTAGATAACAATTTTAAAAGAAATTATAAAGGATCAATAGCTATGTAAGCTAACACTAATAGTATTGAAATCTTACTAACTGGCGAAAGTACTATGACATCTTTGGATAGGAATATAGTTAATTATACACTTGTTATATGATTGTGCTTTAGGTTACCTGGACTATAATAAATATATATAAAAACGGATTAAGGAAATTCCAAAATTAGAACTGTTACTAAAATGGGGACTTCATTTGGACTCACTGATTAAATGTGCAATGAACACTCTGAGTACTAAACAGTTGGCACTTTCTGGGTACTTCTACCTTTTCAACGTGGTCAAAATTAAAGTATAAATCTAGAATCTGCCTATTTTGCAAACCATTCTCCTTTCTATTATCTAATTAGTTGTTAAATCCTATCTATTCTGTTTCACCATCTCTAGTATTTGTCATCCCATCATTTTTCTTCCTTGGTTTCTTGAAATCACTTTCTAACTGATCTTCTCACCTCTTGTTTTACCCTATTCTAATTCATTTTGTTATTGTAGAGGTTATTTCTGAATTATAATGTTAATTATGTCATTTCTCTAATAAAAATTGTGTTGGTTTCCCTAGAGCAGTGACAAGTCTTATGTGAAACCCCAGTAAATAACATTTATTAAATAAATACGGTAGTTAATTGGCACACATTTAAAAGTAAATAATAATAAATTATCTCTATATATAAAAGCCCAGCGACCAGAACAGCAGAATGACCAGAACGACCAGAATGACTGGTGGCTATGACGCTCACTGTGGCAGCCAACCAGCCTGATCTGGCCCCAATCAGCCCCCCTTACCCCCGACTGGCCTGGCCCCTGATCAGCCCCCAACACCCTGATCGGGGGCAGGGTCAGCCAGCCAACGGCCCACGGCCTCTCCCCCCAGCTGGCCCAACCGATGGGCTCCCATCAGGGCAGGCTGGCCAGACCCCACCCATGCACAAATTCATGCACTGGACCTCTAGTATAATCTATATTATATTATTATTATTAGTTCTTGTGTAATATTATCCATACGCAGGTAGTAGGACATTTACTAGCCTTAAAATTAAAAATATAAAGCTACTGCTACTGTCACATCTATAAGACATTAAAAAACAAAAAAAATGGTAGAAGAAATTTTGGTTCAAGATCAGAAAACCAAACATGCCCATGTTGTTCAGATATTTGTGAAATGCATGAACTGCCTTTTATGAATTTGAATTCTATGAAACACAGTTTGAAACTATTGTTTTATACAATAAACTTCTAATTACTTAACTTTATCTGCATATCTTTATCAGAAGGGGCCCCTGTTTATCTTTCCATCCTCATTTCCTTGATTCCCTAAGCATATTGTATTCCCTGAACGCACCATATTTTCTCATATCTCAATGCCTTTTCTCAATCTTTTGCTTCTGACTAGAATATCTCTTCCAACTTGAGTATAATTGGAGAAGTCCCAGTTACCCTTTACTTCATGGTTCAAACACCATTTCCATGAAACCAGTTCAGACAATTACTTTCCTGGATAGAGTTAGTTTTTTCCCTTCTGTTTTTCTATAGCTCCTGGCATATACCTGTAGAGTGAATTTAGCACCTTGTTATGATTCAAAATTTTATTTGTTACTGTCATTATACTAAAAACTCTTTGAGAAGCAAATAATATTTTGTTTCCTTATCATCATTAGGGTGCTCATTACCTAACAGGCCAGTGGTTCTCGACTGTCTTAAGAGAAAGATTTATAGCTCCACCCCTTAGGGCAGTGGTTCTCAACCTTCTGGCCCTTTAAATACAGTTCCTCATGTTGTGACCCAACCATAAAATTATTTTTGTTGCTACTTCATAACTGTAATGTTGCTACTGTTATGAATCGTAATGTAAATATCTGATATGCAGGATGGTCTTAGGCGACCCCTGTGAAAGGGTCGTTCGACTGCCAAAGGGGTCGCGACCCACAGGTTGAGAACCGCTGCCTTAGGGGATCAAATTATCTCTATCTCTATGTCTATATCTATCTATATATCTATATCTATATATCTATATCTAATCTATATCTATTCATCTCTATAGTTAACTGACCCACACCTAATTAGGCTAGGAGCAGGAGAGTGTGAGTATTGTAACTGTGACTAGTTTCAAGCATTCAATATGTCAATCTGTGTTTTACAAAGAGAATGGATAAATTACAGAGCTTAATCTGTAAGATATCCCATTTGACCTTCATAACAGTCTGATAAGGCAAGAAAAGTGTTAATATTTTTATCCTTAGCTCTCTAAGTTGGTAGGAGACATAGCTAAGTTTAACATACTATTCTTTGATTCTCAAATCCAGTACTTTTTTTGTTTAATCTTATTTAAAAAAGGCAATGTGGTGCCTGGTGGGTGTGGGTCAGTGGTTGAGCGTCGACCTGTGAACCAGGAGATCAAAGTTTGATTCCTGGTCAGGGCACATGCCCGGATTGTGGGCTTGATCCCAGTAGGGGGTGTGCAGAAGGCAGTTGATGGAAATTCTTATCATTAATATTTCTGTCTCTCTCTCCCTTTCTCTTTCTGAAATCAATAAAAACATATTTTTAAAAATAAAAATAAATAAAAAGGCAACATGGTAAGTTCCTCAGTAAACAGAAAC